GCATTTCTGGATGTCGATTACGTCATGGGAATCGATCAAAGGGCTCTCGTGCTACGTAACATTTACGTAATATTGGCTACAGTTACGACTACCGATAATAAAAAAATTCCAAGGTATGTTTTATTACATTCGTAAGATAAGTACACAGATTGAAATATCTTATTAATATCGTTCCTTGCTACACAACAATACGTTGCTCAATTGATTGGAAATAAAATTCTTCAAATCGGCCACTTCCTTGCATTGTTAGTTGCTGATTCGTGCATTTCCAATGCCTATTTGAGAATTCGAAATCAAAACACAACATCCCAAAAATCACATTCCCTTAAAACAACTTTTTTCAGGTCACATTTATGCCTAAAGTGACTGATTTCTGGGGTTCAGGCGAAAACGTGGAAGCCGGAATATTATGGATTACCACAAGATATCTGCTACCACGAAGGAATTTACTCATATACTTAAATAAGAACATTATTTTTGAACTGTTTAAAGCTTCAGGAACGCTTAAATGAGAGAGTCGTCATCATCGAGACATTTGACAGCAACTTGAGACACTTTTTAGCCATCAACGAGATATTCAAACTCCAAAACTTCACCCGCGGAACGGCCGCATTCCATTGACCCGACAGGTGGCGTGATGACGCATCAGGAACGCCCACAGCCAGGGCGGAGTCGTACGTTTTCATCGCGAGAGTTGGCGCCTGGGAGCAGCGCGAAGGGTCGGTCCGCGAGTCAGCATTCTGAGCGTGGGGCGCGCGGACCCGTTCCGGGAATTCTTCTCCGCCTTTTCTAGGGCGCAACTGCGCCGAGGCCGCCGGGGGTCGGGGTGTCGGTCGCCCTAACGAGAAATACCGCGGGCGCGGAGTTATAGGCCTTCGCGAAGAGTCCGGTTGGGGAGGAGGGGAGCGCTTTCAAATCGGAGGCACTAAGCGAGAAGAGCGCTCGCGGCGGCGGCGGCCGGAACCGGCATCCGGAGGCGGAGCTGCCTGGGATGAGAAAGAGCGGAGACTTCGTGCGGATAAATTACGAATGAAATGGAAAGTGGGAGACAGGATGACGCTGTAATCTTGAGAAATGAGGTGAAATGGATAGTGATAAACTAGCATAAGCAGCATCGAAATCATCGGGACTCCTTGACCGGGAAATCTCTGAGATTTAATTAACAATCATACGTTTTTACTCAAATTTTTATATGTATTTATATTAATTATGTGTACCGTATTCAAGATTAGTAATATAAAATATACGTGTGTGCCATTTCATTGCTGCAAGGGCCTTGTAAATACTCGGCTTTGAAACTATTTTTACTCTCTTGAATAGAAGCTGTCACTTCATGTGAGTCACGCTTACGGTGTACACATTGTAGGGCTGATATCTTGGTTAAAACAACACGTAATAAACGTGACTAGGTTTTGACCGATAAGTTTTTTTCTTACCTTCTTTTTAGAAGAATAATTTCGAATCAGGAGTGAGTCCAAATATTGCACAATTAATATCTACCAATAATTTTTCTAAGCAAAATGTTTCTTTAATGCAATTCTTAATCATGTCCATATTGCATCGGAATGTTCTGAGTACCCAAGTAATTCATTATATTTCTTTGAAAGTCTTAAAGACTTAATTAATTAATGAATTAATGACACTGAATGTTAAAAAATATCTTCTTTATCTCAGATATATCACAAGAGTTATTTAGAGCACTTGTTACAACACTGTAATGAGTTAAACACTATATTTAATAAAAAAAGTTATTTGCTTCTGTTGTTTACGAACGTAACTTGATTTGTGAAAGAACGTGATTCAATAAAAGCTTTTCTGGATGATTGATTCTACGGTATGAACCACGGAGGTTGATAAACATGTGCTTTTCATCATTTGGGGCGTAAAATTCCAATAAAGTATACGGCATACTCTGCCAAATGTTAGGTATACCGCACACAACACATGCCATTAGATGTAAGAACAACAACATATGTGAAGTGAGTACAAGAAAACCTGTGCATGCCCAAAACTACTGACTGGCATCTGTATCTATGCTATAACCATTGATCCCCACTGTCCAGCATCCCTTCTGTCGTTCAACGTGACGTCGCTACGCGTTCGACAAAAGCGACAGTCGATTCTAATATCGAGCCAGATTGGGTCACGAGTCTAAAGCGCGAATCGCGTGACCATAGCGTAGCTTCTACAAGCCCCACCCGAAGGCTTCCTGTACTCAGAGAGGCCGCAGTGAGGCGCGATTCTCCTTGGCCGAGAGAGACAAGCGCTGGCTTGAAGGTTATTTTTTGTGCGGCATCAATCTTGTGTGAGTGTGTGTGTGTGTATGTGAGTGTGTGTGTGAGTGTGTGTGTCTGTGTGTGTGGCTATGTGTATCTGTGTGTCTGCGTGTGTCTATGTGTGTCTGTGTGTCTGGGTGTGTGTCTGTGTGTCTGTGTGTAATTGTGTGGCAAAGTGAGTCCGATACCAACGGGGTATGCAAATGAGAAGGCCATTTGGCTTCTGGATATAAATGTGACTTCAAATTAACTTCTCGCCATAGCACATCACACCCAGTTTTTAACTGTTTTTGACGTAAATAAATAAACGGAGTTCCAGAGGTGGCGAAAATCAAGTGATATACACCAAGAATATTGTGAGCTGGGGAATAGTTTGACTAAGGATACAATAGAGGTAGTTTGGCTGAGAATATTCCTAAAATTGGAACAAGTTTATGTCGAATTATATGGTGCAAAAACGTACGCAACACGGCGAAAGATCTGGAGCTATGGCAGCCAATACGAGGCCACAAAAATGGCATAAACGTGAGAAGCAATGAAAAATACGAAATTATTAATCGAAAGAAGAGGGAGCGGAAAGATGTAAATCAGTTACAAAAGGAAAGAGGAAGAAAAGAAGATAAAAATTGGATCAGAAGAAAGAAGGAATGCAAGAAGAAATACAAGAGCAGAGAAGACTAAATGGTAAATAAAAAGCGTAGGAAGAGATGGGGAAACGGAGGAAAGAAAATGAAGCTAGAAAGAGAGTCTTCTGGACTTCACCCTCCTCTCATGAAGGCAAGGTCGGGCAGTCGAGGAAGCGCATCCGATGCATGTGAGTGAGGGAAAGCGGGTGGAAGTCGGGGTATATGAAGGGACGGAGATAGTGGGGCGGAGGAGGAGGCCGAGCTGGGTTGGGGTGGAGGAAGGGCAGAGGCAACAAGAGTTGTGGCGGAGACGGGGCGGAGACGGGGCG